TAGCTTTCCTCCCTCGTTGTTAGTTTGGGACTCGAGGAGATGAGAAGCTTCTGGGATCAGAGTGTCCCCAGACTACTTTTTTTTTTTCTTCTTTTAAATGCCGCTGGGCTTGGGAGTCTCCCGCTGCTCATGTTGCCTCCCTGTTCAACTCGGTTGCTGCATCAGAAAAGGAAGAAAAACTTTGATCTTGACATGCCCTTCTTCTCTGTCCCCCGTTACAACTTCTGCAGGAAAAAACCCCGTGATCAAGTGCATCTATGGTGTTGTCAGTCCTTTCAGGGAAGAACAGATGCTTTTATCAGATGCATTCCCAAAATCTTTAATGCCCAGCTGAAGTCCAAGTTGAACTGTCAGAGGACAGACCCGAGCACTGGCTTTATCACCATCCCCACGCTGCTCTCGGGGTAACCTGCACACACGCTTAAAAGTGCCCTTTCCGAAAGAGGGGTGGATTTAGGCCATTACTTATTGTGGCTTCTTGAACCGTGGGATCAGCAGGGACCTCTGGTAATGACCATAGATGCAGCAATCAGTGTCCAGGCAGCAGCCGTGCTCTCACAACTCTGCTGTAGCCACATCTATAACAGCTTTGGGGGAAGACAGTCCGTGGCCCTAATTATTTGACTTGCCCTTCACCATCCATGGGTTTAAAGATATCTGTCCTTTGGATCTTATCTCTCTGGCTGCTTAAATCTGTAGGGTGTACTTTCCTCGTTAGTTGTGAGCACATTTTCACCGGCCAAGTGAACCTCTAGTTTAAATAAATGTAGTTCCAGTCTTGTGTAATCTTATTCTTTTCCCAGTTCCCCTCACCAGCTTCAGGAGTGAAATTATTATGTGGCTTAAAAGCCTTGCCTGTAACTTAAAATGAGGAAGAATCATATTAGTATCAGATAACTCAGTGTTAATATATAATTTCAAAATATCAAATTGAAAAATGCTGTTACGGTTACTTTGCATGGTGCTGTAGGCTCTGGGGACCATGGAGCATGTCCTCTGTGGTCTGCAGTTTACAAGGAAGAGTTTGGTGGTTCTGCAGGAGCTCCATCAAGGGCGCTCTGGCGCCTTACCTGACCTTTCACTAGTGCAATGCAAGTGTGGCTTTCATGTCGCCCACTCCTTCAGCGAGAGGGCTGTTACCATTAAACCTCAAGGAGAGCCAGCAGGACTCTTTGCTCTCTGGGGGAAGCAGGTAGGTCAGCTCTTCCAGGGTGCATCGGGTGTGTTAGTCACCTGCAGAAGAAAATGGGTTTTGATACAGTTGGCGTTGTTCTAGGACAGTGTCCTGGTTTCGGCTGGGATAGAGTTTATTTTCTTCCCAGTAGCTGGTACAGTGCTGTGTTTTGGATTTAGGATGAGAATAATGTTGATAACACACCGATGTTTTAGTTGTTGCTAAGCAGTGCTTACACTAGCCAAGGACTTTTCAGCTTCCCATGCCCTGCCAGCGAGAAGCTGGGAGGGGGCACAGCCAGGACAGCTGACCCAAACTGGCCAAAGGGACATTCCATACCGTGTGACGTCATGCTCAGTACATAAACTGGGGGAAAGCTGGCCGGGGGGGCTGCTGCTCGGGGACTGGCTGGGCATCGGTCGGCAGGTGGTGAGCAATTGCATTGTGCATCACTTGCTTTGTATATTCTTTTATCATTTTTCCCCCCCTTCCTTTTCTGTCCTATTAAACTGTCTTTATCTCAACCCACTAATTTTACTTTTTTTTCCCCGATTCTCTCCCCCCATACTACTTGGGGGCAGGGGGGAGTGAGTGAACGGCTGTGTGATGTTTAGCTGCCTGCTGGGTTAAACCACAACAGCCAGTCACTAAATTGGCCTTTTTTTTCAATAAGCTGAAGTCAATAGGGAAAAAAAAAATGGAAGTAGAGCTTTTGACTAGTTCTTACACGGTCCTTCATCCATCAGTCATACCAAATGGTACTGTAATTTATGAGAATAGGGCAATACCCTTTTAGTGTTACACTGATATTTAATATGTGTTCTGTGTGCCACCAGATGGGCCAGAGCACGTGCAGAGCTGACCCCGGGGGTGTTGGTGTATATTTAGTAAATATAGCTGACCAAACCTGTATGCCATTTCTTCATATTTCTTCCATGTTAAAAAGAGTGGGAGACAAGTACCACTTCAAAATGCACAAGTATCATCTTTTAAGTGAATTTAATGTAGTACAATCTCATTTGCAATTGCAAATACTAAGGCTGCATTTTTCCCCTTACTCAGAATGCCTGAAAATCTCATTCATATTAATGTATGGGGAAGAAGTGCTTAGCCTATTGGTGTAGGAATGAAATCAGAAGCAAAGCATGGCTCTACAAAGATTAATCTGCAGGTTAGGGTCTGAAGCAACCATTAGATTATCAAATCTGACCTTCTGTCTAATACAGGCTGTAGAATCTCATCCACTTAATTCTGTATTTATCCCAAGAACAGCATCAGAAAAGCAAATACTGTGCTTTAACATATTGTAATGTAGCAGTATATTCAGGCATGTCTTTATTTTTTTAACTCTAAAACCAGAGGCAAACAGCAGTACTGTGCTATATGATATTGATGAAAATCTGCAGGAGGAGAGATTTCAGCATTTTATCTGTTTGCAGAGGAAAATTTGTATGTCTGTGTGTTTGCATAGGGTTTTGTTTAGTTCTTTGACAATTATTCACTGGTAACTCTAACCAGTATAGAGCTGACCATTAGTTCTGTTTCTCTCTGAGGACAGCATGAATTGAAATAGGGATTTTATATTTTTTTAACCAAAAAAGTCATTTTCTTCAAAAATCTGTGTGGTCCTTGACAACTGCTTTCTAACATCTTATTTTGGAAACTCCCTGCCAGTCAGTTTTCCTAGGAAACATGAAGCACATTTCACATCTGGCTTCTCATCTCTCGGACTATAACACAAAACTGCCCTTGAACTGCACCTGGGAGGTATTCAGGGGGATACCACACACGCACGAAAGACAAGCCAAGCTGTCTTAAAGGAGCTGCACTGGGCTACTGCATGTTTTAACCATTAGCCAACATTTTGCTCAACAAAGGGGCTAAAGAGATGAGATGAGGAAAGTATCAAGGAATTCAGAGGAGAAGTGGTGGGTGGCACTGTACAAAATACAGAGGTCCCAGGCTTGGCATATAAATGCTGTCCTGAAGAAAAAATCCTCCTGCCCAAGTCTGAGGTGCACCAGCCCCTTGGTGTTGCCCATCTCACGAGAACATTCCTCTGCAACCCACCACAGCTCAGAGGGAGGGACAGTCTCTGCTGCTCACGTGTTGCAAAAGCTTTTGCTGCTCCTTGGGCGGATGAAACCTGGGCTCTTAGGTCTTGTCTGTAAGAATACAATTTCTACCTCCTTTCCCTCCAAAGCTCAGAAATCGTACAGTTGGCTTGGTCCCATCTTGGGGTTTGGTTTGGGTTTTGCCTCTAAAGTGCAGTTGGATCCTGTTCTTTGAGGGTTTTTTTAATATGAATCAGGGTTAACTACTGATATTGAAAACAGAGATTTGACCCATGACTGCAGGAACTGGAGGTTCCATATGAACCCCCAAGCTGGTGCAAAACCATTTGCCAAGGGTATTATACCGTCGAGGGGGAAGACCCCTATAACCAAAGGCTATACAGCCCCATAGCAGATGTATACGGTCTACATTGCCTCAACGGCTTCATTGCAGTGTCCTGTGATTCATGTTAACCTAACTAGAAGGTATCAGATAAACACTTTCGAAAGACTCAGCATTCAAGAAGGAATATCAGACCTCCTTGCCTATCAGATAGGAAGGTCAATACTTGCCTTAATACTTGGCTTTGAGGCTAAGCTAATTATTGTGCGTAAGGCTCTTTGAAATCCACGGGTAAGTGGGGTTAAGTAAATGTAAATAACATTACCAAAACCTTCCCCCTGTTGTTTTGATGCAATTTATTCAGAATATGTAAAAAGGCATTTGTAGCACTGAGGGTAGAGCTGCACAGTAAAACACCGTGCCATGCAGAGACACCTCAGATGACTCTGAGTAACCAAACACAGGAGCCCTGCATCAGCATGGTCCTTTGCTTGGGCTAATATTCCCTGTTTCCCAGAGGAGCTCATTATCTGCCTTAGCAGAAGCTCTCGCTGTTGTCGCTGGACACAATCTGGGCAGAGTTGGCAGGACTGTGGCCATCTCTGTGCAGCTGCCCTGTGGGCCTCACCAAGACAGATTACAGCCTCTCCAAAGCATCCAGTAGCGGTAATAGTAGAAAGTTAGGGGGCTATTAACAAAATAATAAAAGTCTATGGGGGAATATAGTGCTGTGTGTGTTAGAAGGCCACACACCTTTTTCCTTCTTTGTCAGTACGGCTTTAGCAGAGAGGCAAATTTATAGCTAATAGTCTCCCTGCTCCTCAAGAAATCACATCTGAGTGAATGTTCCCCTTGGGGAGTAGCAGGAATCTCCACGGGCTTCATTTCTTCTGCCAAGGTCACAGCCAAGAAACAAGCCGCGATTATTAATTCTCTAGCATAAAAGACATCAGCAACAAGAGCACATACTGTTTTCATTTTGACAAATTTTCCAACTCTGGTGTCTTCCTATGCCATCTCAGCAGCAAAAGGTCAGGCAGGGTCCAGCACTGCTGTAGCCGGGGATGGACTGCAAGGTAGAGGGAAGATCTGTTTTCCAGGATTATGAAAAGCAGTGACCGCTTATTCAGGACGAGTGTGCTGTAAATACACTTGCCACCGGGCTGTGTGAGCGCTTGTGCTCCTTTGTGTTGGCTTCAAAGCAAAGCCCTGGACACTTTCTTTGTGAACAGCATTTAAGCAGCACGTATCAAGAAGTTTGGAGACAAAAAGAGTTTATCTTCTAGCACAGGAACAATTTTACTCAGCGACATAATTAACTGTTCTGTGCAGGTAGTAATCTACTTTTCTGTGAATTTGTATAATAAGCAAAAAGGCAATAAGAGTTTCCCAGCTGCTTGACTTACTAGTGCCTGTGCTTTCTTTGCAGTTGTCCAACACAGCAATTCTTCATCAGATTAGACGAGACCAAGTGACAGACACATGCCGAGCAAACAGTGTATCTAGCAGGAAGCGCCGCGTGCTGACACCCAACGATCTCAAACACCTGGTTGTGGATGAAGACCATGAAATGATCTATTGCTATGTTCCCAAAGTGGCCTGCACAAACTGGAAGAGAGTCATGATGGTTTTGACGGGAAGAGGCAAGTACAGCGACCCGATGGAAATCCCAGCCAACGAAGCCCATGTGTCTTCAAACCTGAAGACCCTCAACCAGTACAGCATCCCAGAGATCAACCACCGCTTGAAAAACTACATGAAGTTCCTCTTTGTTCGTGAGCCTTTCGAGAGACTGGTGTCAGCCTACAGGAACAAGTTCACCCAGAAGTACAACACTTCCTTCCACAAGCGATACGGCACCAAAATCGTGAGGCGCCAGAGGAAAAACGCAACCCAGGAAGCTCTGCGTAAAGGCGATGACGTGAAATTTGAAGAGTTTGTGGCGTATCTCATCGACCCGCACACCCAAAGAGAAGAGCCCTTCAATGAGCACTGGCAGACTGTGTACTCCCTCTGCCACCCTTGCCACATCCACTACGACCTCATAGGAAAATACGAAACGCTTGAAGAGGATTCGAATTACATTCTCCAGCTGGCGGGAGTAGGCAACTACCTGAAGTTCCCCACCTATGCAAAGTCTACGAGAACTACTGATGAAATGACCACAGAGTTCTTCCAGAACATCAGCTCCGAGCACCAAACGCAGCTGTATGAAGTCTACAAACTTGATTTTTTAATGTTCAATTACTCAGTGCCAAGCTACCTGAAATTGGAATGAGGGATGGGTCGGGGGGAGAGAGGGGAGAGAAAGCCTGTTTTATTTAAGATTTTTATTTGTCATAATAAATATGGAGAATGGGTTATTTTGTAAATTAATATTTTCTTTTTTTGAATGATGCTGCGAGCAGCACAGTCAAAATTATTTAAATCATCTGTAAGAAAGGACAGCTCTCTTTGCAGGGTAACAGGATTGTGACGATCTAGCTGTAGAAATGAATAATACTGCTACACTGTTTAAAAAAAATGTTAATTGTGTTCTGGTGAATTTCATTGATCTTGCATTCCTCCAATTCTAATTAATGTTATTTATACTTATTTAAAATATGGTCTCTTGGTAGGTGTCACTTCAGCAGCAGAGATAAGATAACGTTTGGACGAAAGGAGTCTGGTTTTGTTCTTTCCTCAGTTGAGCTTGTCTCTGGGTAATAATATTCTTCCATTAGCCGTTGGTGCAGGTAAATACGGGAATGGTTCTTGATACCACACGCTTTGAGAAGAGTGGTGGAAATAATTTCTTCAGAAAGCGATATTGCACTTAAGCGTACTAAAAAAAATCTGTCTAGCCCTGAAAGGGAAAAGTAAAACAGATTTTGATAGATTCATGATATCTAAAACCCATGACTGAAAGAAATGTGAATGTATTCCTTGGGAAGAGAAACCATGAACTTTTTGTAAGTCTGGACTTAATGATTTTATCAAGAAATGACCAGTCCCGTTGTCTCTTATTTTAAAGCCTGCCAGCCCAAATGAATGCAGATTTGCAAATGGTCCATCAGAAAACATCAGCATTTTGAAAGTGACTGCAGAGATTTTTGAATGCCCAAAGCAATTGGCGTTGACTTAATTCATATTCAGGATGGGGGTGGGGGGAGCTCCATCCTCTGCAGGTCACGCCTCCCGAATTCATCTTAAGATGGGCAACCAAAATTGGCTCAAAAAGCACCAGTCACAATACGTTGCTGTAAAGGATGCGGGCATGTAATTTGAAAAGTCAGAAAGTCATCTTGGTGTTGATCTCTAAGCATGCAAGGCAATAAAAAAGGTCTCTCATCTTCCTACATGCTGGTTTCATGGCTTTTTCCTAGGGGGAAGGGGAAGTCGTCTTTTTTTAGTTGATGCCTAAATACCATTGACAGGGATGTTTCTGATTTCCAGTGGATTAGTATTTCATCTAAGTCAGCTCTAGTGTGAGGCCATGACCTTTGTGTTGAAGGTGAACATCTCAGTAGTGGTTGTTTTGTGTATAACAGCTGGTTGGGGTGGCAGTTTGTACCAGGCATAGCACACCGAGCGATTGTTTTGGGCAAGCAAGTAGTAACCTATTTGCGGCAAATAAATAATGAAAAAATGAGATTTCAGTGTGGCTCTATTAGCAAGCTCAGTGGGCAGAGGTACAGGCTTCTCCAAATCTTGCTTTAATTTGATGCTGGTGAGGTGTGTGGCCAAGCGGGCGGCAGGCACCTGCCTGGGGAATGGTCCCTTCAAGCTGTCCCGTCCTGGGGCGGCAGCGCCGGCAGCCAGCTGATGGGCAGAAGGAGGCAGAGGCTTAAGTGGAGGCACTTGTGGGAACTTAAAATCTGTTCTAAAGTTGAATGATTGTTAAAATGGGGATTTGAGTTGCCTGCATGTCAATGACATGAGCAAACCCAACCCTTTGAAAAATTAGTGAAGATTTAAATAAACTCAGCTGAAGGCAGAGCTGTTTTAACAGTATCAGAGCCAGATCCTGAAAATCGTATTGTACAGTAGCCGATAATACCCACTGAATTACATGGACACATACATGGTTAAAGAAAAATAAGTTCTGTCTTATTTTATAAAAATAAGTCGCTGAATAAATCTCAGCGAAGAACAAATTAACATAACAAACAGCAGCTGAAGTCCTTTCAAAATTGGATTTGTTCTTAGCCAGGATTCGGGTCATTAATTTTTTTTATCATACTCTACAAATAAATCTGTCATCCATTCTGGAAAAGCCACAATTTTGATAACCCAGGTCCTATTTGTAAGCCGGAGCGCTGACCCGGTGGCTAGCGAAGAGCTGTCTGTCTGCTCCTGACAGCTCTGAATTCCTGAGCGGTTGCTGATCGCTGGCTGGTGTTTTACTTGAAAGCAGTTTTTTCTCGTTTAGAGTATGCAGAGCTGTTGCAAGTGCCTATCACAGTGTGCCCTGGCTTTCTTTTGTTCGCAGATCAGCGATTGTATGTTTGTTAAAAAAAAAATAATCTGTCTGAGGGTAGATTTCCCCTCTCCCCCTCCAGTATTTCCCGCAAGCTATTTGTGTGCTTGTTTGGTCTTGTATCCAACAGTGCTCATGTTTTGGTCCAATTTTCTCTTCAGTTAACTGTTAATCCCGCCAACAGATTGTGATGTGAATTTTTTCATTTAAGAAAAAAGTTGCTTCAGAAAGTAAATATTTTAAAAATGGGATGTGCTTCCCCCTTTCTTTTTGTACTTTTCCCTGTCGTCACCACATTTTTATCTGTTCTGAAATACTGTCTTTAGTTTCACTGCTTTGGAGACACAAAACCCCAATTTGACAGCTGTGATAGAAAAGCTTCAGGAGAAAAAAATGTTCAGGAGATCTGAAGGGTGAGTGCTGCTCAAGCTGGGATTTTTAGCAGCAGCTTTGGGTTTGATTACCCAAATTCTGCCTCCCTGCAGAGGGCTGCCCTACAGGCAGATGCTCAGCACTGAGATGGCTTTTATGTGGTCTTAAGCCAGTACTTAAAAGTCACTTGCTTTTCAAAAACCTTGACCCCGACCTACTACAAACTGTCCATTTAGCGTGTTATGTCTGTTTTGGGGTGCTGTGGATGGGCTGTAGATCTGTCTTTAAAATGAACAACTGACATGCTGGATATGATTGTGTCCTGCGCGTTGAGCACGAAGCCCTCACCAGGTCGGAGGAGGACCACAAATGTTAAGGAATAGCTTTTTTTTTTGGTCTACTGCGTATGTTGTTTTGACTGAGCCAAAAAATAGCTCTGTTTACTCCCCCCACACAGGAGGATGTTCAGGGTCATTCCTCCTCATCTCAGCGAGCTGGCAGCCACCACCTGCAGTGCGGGGACAGCCGGGAAACCGGGTTGGTTTTACCCCATCTCTTCACTGTGTTTCCCAGCCAGAGGAAGGAAGGGGCTGGTCTGCTCCCGAGCCCTGCCCCCCTCCCTCCCTCCCGGGTTCATTTCTGCTGCGGCCACAGCTGATCCCGGGAGACCAACAGGCAAAACTGCAGCCACAGCAAAATTCAGAATGCAGATGTGCCCGTGGGGCTGCAAGGGCCACCCGGGGAGCTGCTGTTTTAGAAGGATGTGTATGAGTTGAGCAGCGGTGAGTGCAGAGAAGACCCAGCGGGGAAGATCCCGCTCCCCACCTCTGCCCCAGCCCCCTCAAAGCCGCTGGGCTCGAGGAGCAGTGATTCCCATCTCTGAGCAGCCGGTGCCTCCCCGTCATTTGGCAGGGCCAGCGCTGAGCCCAGCAGCGCCCACGGATCCTTACCCGGTGCAATACCCAGAGCTGGGGGCTCGTTCCCGCCCCGATGGCCCCAAGCACCTTAACCTGGAGCCCAGGCTGGATTTGGCCCGTCTGAACATGGTGGTGACTCCTGGGCAGTGGGAGGTCCCCCCAGACCTGACTTGGTCCATGCTTCAGCCTCTTCATAAACCATGTCCATTATCACAGAAACGTGCAAACTGCCTGAACCATGCGCTGCGTAAGACAAGTGAAATAAATAATCCGCAAGCAGAAGTGCTTTTAGAAGTAAGTTGACCCCAGGTGTTTTAGGGTTTCACTGTAGTCTGCTGCACTTTTCAGGTACAAAAAGGGACTGTCCTTACTATTACTCTTGTTACAGAGAGTGTTATTTTCTTACATGCATGCACAATACAATGTGTACGAATAATTTAACATCGATGTGGGGTTGGATTTTTTTTTTAACCTATTTGTATGCAGTAGAAGGCTTGTTGTAGAAAAGTATCTCCTCATACCTAAATATACTGTTAATAAAGAAAAAAGCTAAATTATACATTGCCAACACAAGTGTGAACTGCTCATGAATCTTTCCTTAAAAAAGCCGTTCAAGCCTGATTATTTTTCTAAGTAACTTCAATTAAATTGAAGAAAGAAAGTTCCTCTCTGTGTGCTTTATTTCTGGCTCATTCTTTCAGGGCTGAGGGTGGGATTTTTGTCTGCATAGTTTTACGTTCTCACAAGGGTTTTTGTGGCAGGACAAGCAGAAGATTCAAAATTATCTACTGCTATGGAGCAGGAAAGCTAAATTCATCTGACAAGATCCCTCTTGGTCCCTTCCTTCCCAAGTTCCCAGCCAGCAAGGATGAGGGCTGTCAATTTAAGACTGTCGCATGCCCGGAAACATCATCCCACCTCAAGCAAGGGTGTTTTAGAGTCAGTCAGATGAAATAAATGCCAGCTGTCTGATGAGCCATGTGCTTGCCCACCTTCATGTGAATTCACTACAATGGCTTTGAGTTAAACATTTCCAGCACTCCCCAAACCTGCGTGGTCTCGTCCATGGTTTTCACTGAGGCCAGAAAGCTGGGCTTTGAAGACAAACTTGGGTGAGGAAATCAGCACCGTAAATTACACTTAGGAAAAAGATACATTTAGAAAATAACTGCTCACCATCGTGACCGTGTTGTTGGAAGGGACCCTGGAGGTCAGCTGGGCCACCCTACTGCTGAAGGTCACCAAGTCCAGGTTGGCCGTGGTTTTGGCTAGCCAAGGCTTCAATACCTCTGGGGATGGAGGGCTCAGACCCTCTTTGGGCAACCTGTTCCAGTGCCGTACTACCCTCCCAGCAGAGATGTTTTTTTCTTAGTGGCCACTGTGAGACTCCTGGCCTTCAACGTGTGTCTATCATCTATCACTACTGGAGGAAGAGTTAGAATTCACTTTCTTTGTAAGTCCCCTTCACGTAGTTGTAGAGTGCTATTAGATTCCCAGTTAGCCCTGTTGTCACCAGGCTAAATAAGACCAGATCCCTCAAAGTGTCCTTTTCAGTTATATGCTTTAGATCACTGAACACCTTGGTAGCCCTCTCCAGCATCTCAACATCCTTCTTGAATTGGGGAACGCCCCAAAACTAGATGCCATACTCTGGGTGCAGCACTGCCAGTGGCAAACAGACCATTTAATCTACCAGCCCTGCTCCTCACAAGGCAAACGTTGTTCACAATGAGAGCAGAGACAAACAGAAAATAGGAAATCTGCTGA